TTTCACAATTTTTTTACTTTTTAAGTATATATTTATGTTAGGTATATCTAAAAATTAAAAAAATTACTTAAAATATTAAAAATTTTCATTAAAAATAAAAAAAATAAGGAAGATAAGAAAGTATAATTTTCTGAAAACTATTTTTAGAAAAACGAAACCAAACAATCTAAATAGTCTTGTTTGGTTTAATTGTCAAAATATAATTTTTGAAAAAAAAATTTTAAAATTTTATTTGATTGAAAAAAATTTTAAAATCACTTTATCTCCTATACATCAATCAATTACTTTTTCTCTCTCATCTCTCGTTCTCAATCAGTTTTTCTCTCATGCATATTTACTCAACTACAACAAAATATCAAATCATCCTGAACTCCTAAACTCCAAAACTATTTTCAAAATATACAACCAAACAAATTAAAAAAATTTCTAAACCCTTTCTCTAAGATTTTTTTTGAAAATTTATCTCCTAAAACCAAATCAAACACACCCATTAACTCTTATTAATGTAAATTTTTTGAATTAGTAAAAAACTATTTTCAAAATATACAACCAAACAAATTAAAAAAATTTCTAAACCCTTTCTCTAAGATTTTTTTTGAAAATTTATCTCTTAAAACCAAATCAAACACACCCATTAACTCTTATTAATGTAAATTTTTTGAATTAGTAAAAAATATCATTTAAAGTACTTAAAAAAAAATATTGTTGGAAATGGATACCATATCCAAAAGACCATTTTTACCATTGGATTTAGATAAAGAAAAAAATTAATCATTGATTGATAATAATTAAATCTTTCAATTTTTTTTAATTTATTTTTTTAATCAGTGAATAAGCTTGTATTGATAGAACAATGAAAAAAGACATCATAGTTCAAACAAAGATACAAACGAAAATGAAGGTGAAACTAGTTGGCCAAAATATCAGACTCCCTCTCCTTGCCATGGTTATTTTCAAATTGACCCGACTTACTATTGAGGGTGTGTCTTGGATTGGTTTTTCTGTGTATTTTTTGTGTCGTTTTTCTTTTCGTCTCCAGTAAAAAATATATTTTTAAAAAATTCAAAAAAAAACTTTATGCTTTTAGGTTCTCCACAAAATGAACCAAAAAAGTAAAAATACAAAATACACAAAATACAAAATTTACACAAAATATTTTTATTTATTTATTTATTTTTATTTTTTTGGGGTTTGAATCTTTTATTTTGTGGTGGGTGTGATTTGGTGATTTTTAGAGAGCGAACGGAGGAAAAAGAAGAAGAGGTGGTGGTTTGTGGTGGTGAGATTTGAAGTTATAGGTGATGAACATGACCTGCTTTATCTCTCTCTCTCTCTCTCTCTCTCAAACTTTGGAGCTCTAAGAGTTTTTGCTTTGGATACACAAATCTTTAGATTTGGGAAATAAGAAGATTTGAAAATCATGGTTTCATTTTTTTGAGAGAGATTTGAAATTCCCTTTCTGTGGTATCTCTACTTCCATTTTAGAGGAGAGAGAGTATCCAAATCTAATATTTGAAGAAGGTGAAGCCAAAAGAAGATGGCTAATTTATTTATTTTTAATTATTTATTTATTTATTTTCAATCTCAACGGGTCCATTTGGGCCCGTCCCCCGCAAGGACCACTACTGGAGAGAGCCACTGGAGAGAATTCAGACTTCTTTTCTGTGACGCCCAGTCTTCCTACACCATAAATTAACTATAGGATATGACAACCGAAATGTGCACAGAGGTGTCATTTTACTCTTTTTTGTTTCGTTCTGGAAAAAAAAGAAAAAAAAACCTAGGTTACGGCAATCAAAATGTGCGGTGGGATCCCCTACACCCTTTGTTTTATCTTTTTATTTTTATAATCACATCATCTCTTTATTTTTTTTAAATTTTTCATAAAAAATTAAAAAATTTACTTATGTGAATCATCTTAAACACACTATAAATTGTACTATAAATTAACTCCAACGACATTCTTAAATTGTTTTATTTGATGCTCGTAAAAATATCTATAAATAATAAATAAATAAAACAAAACAAAAGAAACAACTTTAATATTTTTTATGTTAAAGGCAAAGTTACATGTCAATGGGAATTTTCAAAATTAATTACACATTTAGCCTCCGTTTGGGAAGTGAGTTGGCTTTTTGGCTTTTTGGCTTTTTTGGCTATTTTAGCCTGGGCTAAAAAGTTTGGTTTGGGAAGGACTTTTTGGCTTTTTGGCTTTTTTGATTTTTTTTGTGAGAGAAGAGTGTAATGATTATGGGTTGGATGTGATGTTTTGTTTGTTGTGGCTAAAATAGCCTGTTTTGTCTTTTGTGGCTATTTTAGCCCCAACCCAACTTGCCAAACACCACCTTATAAAAATCATGGTTTTGAAAACCAAATCATACAAGCCGAACCATCCCAACACATATTTCTTTTAAATCATTCAAACAAACAGGTGATTTAGCCTTTGGGAAGTGGGTTGACTTTTTAATTTTTTGGCTTTTTTAGCCTGGGCTATTTTAGCCTGGTTTGGAAAAGATTTTTTGACTTTTTGATTTTTTTGACTTTTTTTGTGAGAGAGGATTGTAATGATTATGGGTTAGATTTGATGTTTTGTTTTTTGTAGCTAAAATAGCCTATTTTATTTTTTGTGACTATTTTAACCAAAAAAGTCTGACTTTTTTCTTCCCAAACGGAGCCTTAATCGTCAATTTGTCCAAATCGGAGAGAGTCAGTAACAACCGGTCAGTATAATTCTCATTGCTCAAAATATGAGTTGAGCGTTGGAATTACGCAACCACAAACTCAGGTGGCACCTGCGCAATCACTAATATCACCCAATGATCTTGTTAGTTTAATTCCAAGTACACTAATTATTCTAGAGTGGTGATTAAGAGCTCTAATAATAGAACTCTAATAAGAGCATTAGTAACATGGCAACTTAAAAAAAAAACAAAAAAACAAAACACGGGCAAAAACATCAAATCACACAGTGAGACTCACAGGTTAGAGCTCTTCTAGAGCTCACAATTTAGAGGTCTGAAGCATTTTTCATTATTCTATGCCTTCGTTTGGATTGTGCACTGGTTTTTTGACTTTTAACTTTTTAACTATTTTAATTTGGAATTAAAAAGTCTCGTTTGTAATAAATTTTTTAATTTTTTTAACTTTGATAAGAGAAAAAAATAAAATTATTATGATTTAGATGTGACATTTTCTCTTATTAATTTTTGAAGTTACTTTATCTTTTTATAACTGTTTTAACCCAAATAGCCTAGCCAAGCATAGCCATATGTTTTATAAAGTTAGTTTTTTTCAATAAATCAATATATAAAATAAATTAAAAATAAACATTTTTTTTGTAAATGTTTGATACTTATTAATTATTAATTATTAATTTTAATTCTTATATTCTTATATTTATGTATCATATTTTATATTTATGATACAAAAATGACGTTACGATTCGATTTTTGACCTGACTGTTGAACTAGTGACCTATTCACAAGATCTTTTTTTTTTGTTCCCTCACCAATTCAGTTTTTAAAATATTGATAAAAACTTTTATAAGCTTGCATTTTGATGTTTGTAAAATTTACTAGTCATTTAAAAATATTTTTCTTAACCTACTCTAAATTGATATTTTCCCAAATGTTAATGACCGCTGTTTCTGTTAGACTTTATATATACCTAACATAAATACGTCAAAATAAAAGGTTTTAGAAATGTTAGAAATGTTTTAATTAAATATATAAATTATTCAATATATATATATATATATATATGGCTTTATTCATCCTAATAGATATACGGAACCAATAAAAAAGAACAAAACAAAAAAACTTTTAGCCACAAAAATTTTAAAATGTCCCTATTAAATGTTATTTTAGCAAGAAAATAATTTGGTGTAAAAAAGATTTACATTTTGAGACAAGACTTTCAGTCCAAAAACAATAGTGATTCATCACTAAAGTTCAATTTGTTGCTACAAATACAACAATAACATTTTTGAGAACTAAAATATTTTGTCCCTAATTTTTTATGTCAAAAAATTAAAATATATTGTAGTGTTTGCAATGACCCTTTAAAATTTATAATTAACACATGGCATAGATACTCCAAGCACACAGACTTTTAAAACATACAAAAATATCTTATTCTACCAATATTTTCAAAACTTTCATAAAAATATGTACTAAAAGTTTAATCCGTGAAAACTAAGCCAAAAAAAATCCCTATCTCCCCCCTGACCCATGGTTTCTGCAATATGTGTTGAAAACGAAGAAAACATTTTTCAACAAAATCTTTTGTGTTTGGTCACATTTTCATTTCTAAATTTAAGTAGGAAACATTTTCATATTACAAAATGATGTTTTAAAAACAAATAAAAATAAAATTAAGAAAACATTTTTAGTGAAAGAGAGTGGAGTTTGCCTGAGAGGGAGAGCGGATATTCCTTTTCACATATTCATATTTTATTTAATTCATATTATTTTTTATATTTCGATAAGTCATATGTGTGATATAATTACTAAAATAACATTTATATTTTGTAATGTTAATGTTCACACTGTCAATGTGAATATTTATAAGTCGATGTACATATGTAAATATAAAATATGAATGTTCACAAATTTCTAACTGTTCAAAAGATATTTGTAAGAGTAAAAATATCTATAAAATACTTTAAATATGAAAATTATAATTTGGTGGATCAAATGTAAATAATAAGACTTATTAAAATACACAAATTTCTTATGGACTAATTGGGATACAAACATTTAAAAAAAAATTCTAATAAATCTCTCATTTATTTTTTAAATTCTTAGATAATTAATTAAATTTTTTTTTTTAACTTATTTAAATTACTTCTATTAGAAATGGAGATTGCACCAAATAATATGACAATGTCTCCCAAATTAATATGAGTTGTAATCAACTCTTTTAAGTTATAGCAAACATCAATATAGGTTTTTTTTTTTTTTTTTTTTTCAGAAAAAAAAAATAAATAGATAAATACTTACTGGGATCAAGCTCGGCACTAACAAGCTCCAACTGGATTGATTTACCAAGCATATCAGCAACGTCGTCAAGCCCACGGCTTAATCCAAGGTTCGACAAGAAACCACCGACTGTTAATTTCACACAAACAACAGCCTTAACAATCGTGGTCTGCTCGGTAGTAGTGGTTGCTATGGCTTTAATGGTGCTAGGAACACACCGAACACGACCTTTATCCTTTTGGTTTCCACACAACCCTGGTTTCAGCAGGTGTAGTGACGACGAAGGGCTAGCGGTTCCGGAGGGGAATGGCTTGTGCCATGGAATTAGAATTTGGACAGTATGAGACTGGTGAACTTGACTGTTCAACATTTTTTTTTTTTTTTTTGGAAATTATTTTTTTCGTGATCTGGGTTTGGAATAAGTTAAATTTGGTGGTGTGGAAGGTAAAGCAAGTTTGAGTGGCTCTTATAAAAAGGATGTGTTTGCAGTAGGATAGATGTGAATTGGTACGAGGACCAAGATCTGGTTATATAGAGGTGCAGTGGAGTGAGCAAGTATCCTCACCTTGGCTTTTTATTTGGTGGGTTATTGGATTTTTTATTTATTTATTTAATTTTGATAATTTAAATAGTTTATATTTTAGAATTTATCATATATATCATATCTATAAAAAATTAAGTCGATTAGATATCAAAAATTACGTGAATTAAAATTTTTATTAAACAATAAAACTGTTTATTAAATTTTTTTAATAAACGATTTTTAATTCTTCCTATATCCTATCAATTTGATTTTCTACAAATATAATATATATGACAAATCTTAAAATATCAACAATTCAGATTATCGAAATTAAATCTAAAAGTGAGCTCAATGCCCAAGATCTGTTTGTATTTTTTCTCTCTCTCTGTGACAGATCTCAGATCTGTTTGTTTTTTTTTTTTATGATATGTTGATGAATCTGGGATGTTGTTGATAGGGGATGATGATGAATGATGTTATTGTTGATTGTGTTGCTGTTGAAACAGATGGAGGGCGGGGAATCTTCGGGGTCGGGGAAACCCGATCCCCGTTGGGGCCGGGGATGGGGATGGTGGTAGATTCCCCGTCGGGGATCGGGGCCGGGGCCGGGGAGATTTTCCAAATCGGGGATCGGGGACGGGGAGTGCGATCCCCGGCCCCGCCCCGCCCCGTTGCCATTCCTAGGTGCAGTGGAGTGAGCAAGTATCCTCACCTTGGCTTTTTATTTGGTGGGTTATTGGATTTTTTATTTATTTATTTAATTTTGATAATTTAAACAGTTTATATTTTAGAATTTGTCATATATATCATATCTGTAAAAAATCAAGTCGATTAGATATCAAAAATTACGTGAACTAAAATTTTTATTAAACAATAAAACTGTTTATTAAATTTTTTTAATAAACGATTTTTAATTCTTCCTATATCCTATCAATTTGATTTTCTACAAATATAATATATATGACAAATCTTAAAATATCAACAATTCAGATTATCGAAATTAAATCTAAAAGTGAGCTCAATGCCCACCAAATAAAGAGCCAAGAAGAGGATCCTTCCTCTCGCAGTGGAGGACCATTCAGTGCGTTTGGTTTGAGTTTTTTGAATTAAGTTTTTTGAAAACTGAATTTTTTGGTTTTTGTATTTTTTTTTGTTTTTAGTGAATATTTTTACAATTTTAAATATATTTTTTATTTTTTAGATACACCTTACTTAGATGAATCTAAAAAGTAAAAATTTTGTGAAAACATATTTTAAAAAATTAATAAATACATAAAAATACTAAAAATGTATTGAATTATTGTATTTTTTTTATATTTTTGGTATTTAGTGAATTTTTAAAAGATTTTTTTTATATTTTTTTACTTTTTAAGTGTATTTATGTTAGGTGTGTCTAAAAAGTAAAAAAATTGTTTAAAATATTAAAAAAATCAGTAAAAACAAAAAAATACAAAAAATAAGAAAGTAAAAGTTTTTGAAAAGTATTTTTAAAAAAATAAAACCAAACAAGCTGCACGTTGAAAGTATTTTATGTTCTAAAAATTAACACATATTTAAATTTATAAATTTATCTACAATTATGTAATATAAGAGATAGGTCTATTATCATTAAGAATTAAATATATAACAAATTAAAAATTACATATATTTTGTTACGAAAAATGAGTGAGAGTACTAATTAGTGCCACCACTAATGATATGGTAGTGGGTCTCACCCACTGCCACAATATTATTGTGTCTTTTTTTTTTTATTTTAAAAAATAGATGTCACATCATTAGTGGTTGCTTTGAAACACCACTTTTAGTGATCTCTATCATTGTTCATTTTGTTACATTATTATGAGTACTTTTTAAATATCTCAAACATTTTTCTTTAAATTATTGGTTTCTAAAAAGTGAAGAGAAAATTACAAGCCATATTTTTCAAAAAAAATTATAAAAATTTACTACTTTAATCATTAAAATTGGTAAAATTTACCATCAGTTTGTAATTTTTTTTAAATGTACTATTAATTCCCAAAAATGAAAGCAGTACGTCATCTTTACAAGTGATTGGATTATTTTCTTTCATTCTCTCTTTCTTTCTTTTGATTCGTGGACGCTGAAGATCTGAAAATGAGATTCAAATAACTTTATTGAAGATAGTAATGTTATACACTTTCTTAATTGTTATTTTTGTTTTCTACCCTAAGACACAAAGTAATAACGCCTACAATATTAAATATACATGATCTTATTTACTTCTCTCTTGAAGGTAAGAAAATGAGATAAATAATAACATTATAAATAGCATTTTGGAAGAATTTCAGTATAGTGAGATACACCACCACCACCACCACCACTACTACTATTACTACAAAAAAAAAATAAATAAAAAAATAAAAAAATTAAAGATCACACTTTAATAAATAAAAATATTTCACTTTTATTGGAAGTGTGATAAAAAAAATTAATTGATATTTTAATCACACTTGATTTAATTGAGTGTGATAATATTTATTTTTTATATCACTTTTCAATTAAGTGTGATATTATATATATATATATATATATATTTTTTTAATCACATATTCTAATTAAAGTGTGATTATATATACATTACTACAATAATACTTAATAATATTTATTTTTAATCACACTTTTTAAAAAAGTGTGATTATATATATATAAATATTTTTAATCACACTCTCTAAATAGGTGTGATCGTATAAAATATTTCAATTTGATTTTTATGTAAAATATTCTCAAATTCGCGCCTCTATTCTCTATTCTACCCATGAATGCGAGAGGATGACTGTTTCCATTCCCAAGTTTGTTTTATCTGCTGAAACAATTCATACTCTTCCTATCTGATGTGCTTGGTTATGAAAGAGATCTGGAGCCGCCAGAGATATGGAGATGGGCTTAGCTCTGAATCTATCTCATCCACCTCTCTTGTCAAACCACTACCATCATATAGATACAATGATGTACGCAATAATCGCTAACCGTTCTGAGGCGTCCCTTACTGGTCTGCCTCGACCCCCAACCACAATCTCTCTTTCATATCGTGGTCCTTGACTATATGAATCTTGGATGGAATTTGAGCTTCGACGAGAGGCTAAGAGAGATAGGTGGCCTTGATGCAGATGAAATTGTTGAAGTTGTTTTTGAGTTTTGGTAGAGACTCTTGGGGTGAGTCATTGGGATCGATGAGGGAGAGGTCGATGGCACCCTAATCAACGACGTAGAGGACAGAGGTGTAAAAGACATGGAGGAGGACAAAGTGATTAGTTTAGTTAGCACAGTGAGTCATTTGGTGCGTTTTCACTCTCTCTCTCTCTCCGCCTACACATACATATATATGTGTATCTAAGAACACAGCGATTAGTTCAAGTTTTTGTTCGATGGAACAAATTTTAATTGTTTAGGGTCTGTTTGGTAACATTTACGTTTTTAGTTTATATTTACAAAAATTTTATAAACTGATTTTTGTTTATTTTTAAAAAAACATAAACTACAAACGTGTTTGGTAATTGACAAAATGTTTAAAAAATTTTAAAAATATAAAAAAGAATGAGAAATGACAAGTGGTGGCAAGTGGCGGCGGAAGACGGTGGGGAAAAGGGCATGGCAATGTATTTTCACAAATGTATGCATGACTACTCTTCGGGGAGTGTAGTCCTCGATCCTCATGCCACCAATCATACATATCGATGCATGATGGCCGATGAGTCGATTTGCACGACTCAATATGGAATGAATGCACATATAAACACAACAAGACCTAAACTCCATCATGGATAATCCGGAGCGT